GGGACTCGATCCTGGGACTCCAGGATCATGACCTGAGCCGAAGGCAGTTGCTTAACCAACTGAGCCACCCAGGCGCCCCTCTGTAATTAATTTTTATTGGTTGTGGATGTAGCGCTGTAAGAATTTTTCCAAATATCTTGTCAGGTAAGTTGGCCTAGGAAGCAAGCCTCAGAGCATGCCCCAAATCCCAGGCATTTTGGTCTAAACAGAAAGGCCTCTCCAAGGCATCACAGGTCCTAGGGTTGGGCCTCGGCTCTGCCACCCACAGGGTGACCTTGGACAGATGACCTGCATTCCCAGGTCCTGAGTTCCTCAGGCCCATGGTGCTGTCGTGAGGACTCAGGGAAGGAATGCGTGCAGGTGTGGACATGGGAGGCGTCCGCACACCTGTCCAGGCACGGCGGCTTATCTTCCCATGGGCATGTATAGACGACTCTTGTTCTGTAACCCTCTGGAATATTATGTTTTACGGATGACGTGTGGCTCCAGGGCCTAGTCCCGTATTCATGGACACATCACATTCACTCTTTTTTTTTTTCACATTCACTCTTGTAGCCGCATCTTTACATCTCTTAGGAAGTATTTCTGACTAGTAAGCTCTTCGAAGTGGAGCACATTTATATCAACGTAAAAGCCAGCACCACACAGCAGATGTGCTTGAGGTGCCCCGCGGGGACCGGGCGAGCCTGGCCAGAACCAGCCAGCAGGGCGGCATGGGCCTGGTGGCCTCAGGCCCTGCCTGCGCTGGGGCTCACAGCCCCCACGGGAGGAGGGTCTTGGGACGGGATAGAGAACAGACTTGCTGAGAGTGATTTCCGGGCGTCGCAGGATGACGGCCGCCGTGAGCCTGTGGGGACAACAGGTGTGGGCGCTGTGCCAGTCCGGCTGGGCCCGCGCAGGTGCGCCTCCACCTCTGAGCTCTCCTCTGCACCCCTCCTGCCTCCGGTGCAGGCCTGGGGCTCCGTGCTCTGACAGCAGTGGCCGGCCTTTGTGGCCGGGCTCACGGTGGGGTGGCGGGAAGCTCTGGCTTCCAAGGAGGTTGGAAGCCTGGTTTGCAGTATAGACACGCCGCAGGGCCCATGGCTGAGCTCATTGCCTGCTGGGGCCAAATGGCAAAGGAGCATGGCCCCCAGCCCGGGGCTGCCTGGCTGCTGGCCTGCGTCTGGGGCGATCTGACGGGCCCCTCCCGCCCCTGCTGCCTCCAGCTTCGCGCCCACAGTGCCTTGACCTGCCCCGCCGGTTGGAAACCCTGCTTGCGAAGTTAGGTGACGATTTCTACCTGGCAAGAGGCCAGTTCACCTGGGGCGAGGGGCCCTGGATTTGTTTGTTGTTAAAATGGTTTAGGTGTTTGAGGGTGTTCATTTTCTGTTTCCTCCAGAACCGTGCCCGGAAAAAAAGACTGAATATCATAATTGTGGCTGAGGGAGCCATAGATACCCAAAATAAACCTATTACCTCTGAGCAAATCAAGGAGGTGAGTGTGTCTGATTTTGCAGTTCTCCTCGGGCGCCAGCCTGGAAACGGGAGAGGGTAACGCAGCTGGCAGGGTTCGAGTTTGGAACGTTGTATTATTATCATGAAAACGCTTTTTGTTCTTCCTGATATTTAAAGATGTTTTCGTAATGACTCACGACTTTAACGGCATGGGTCTCTTGAAGTTCCCGCCTTACTGTCGGGAATATTCCCCGAGGCCCCGGAGCCGCCTGTCAGTCGGGGAGATGCAGTGGGATGGGGGGCGGGGGTCCCAGTGCTGGGCATCAGCTGCCCCCGCCACGGATAAGGCTCAGGGGCTGGGGGGGTGCACCCTCCGTGCTCTTGTAGACGAGAGCGCCTGTTAGGTGTGCGCCCATGCTGCACCCGGCCCCGCGGAGGGGCCACCCCGGAGGCCCCGTTGCTGCGCGGCTCGCTCGAAGGTGCTGGCTCGTCGCACCAGCCCCGGGGTGGGCGGGACGGGCCAGGCTCTCCAGTTAGGCAGGTGGCTGCGCACGCTCCAGACGGGACACCGGGGAGACAGACCACCAGACGGGCAGGCAGGCTCTGGTTGAAGCCGTCCATCACAGCGAAGGACGTTATCCGCTTGGCTTTGCAAAGTGGTTTCTCTCCTTTCCCTAACCAGCTGAGTGCCTGAGCCCCGAACGTGGGGAGCTGTGTGAAGGCGCTCGGCCAGTACCGAAAGAAGCAGTAAGGGCCAAGGTTTTCTTTCCCACTCCAGCGAAGCTGAGCGTGAATCCTGGACTCGGGGGGCCGCAGGCTTCATGGAACCCCCACCCCGTTTTTATAGAGGAGGAGGTGAGGTCTGGGGAGGACGGGGCCTGGCCCAGCTCTCGTGGGGCCCAGCCCGAGGGGGCGCCGTGGTTGACCACAGCGTGCTTTTCAGATTCAGCTGTACCAGCTTAAGGGGCTGCCGGGAAACGTCTGCATCCATAAAATATCACGGATGTCGTGTTCTTTTTTAAAAAATCATGTTACTTAGGTTCATTTGCAAGGTAGGAGAGACAAAGATTTTATTTGATAATAAAAGCATTCTTTTTAAGAAAAACAAACTTCAGCTCACCATTAAGCTGAACATCCTTTTAGGAAGTGAAATTTAGAAACTAGAATTTTTTCCCACGTCGGTGTGAAGCGAAGAGTAGAGAGACCTCTGGGGTGCCAGCACCCTGCACGAGGTGACCCCCTACATTATGTGCTGTGTTTCCTGCAGCTCGTGGTCAAGCAGCTGGGATACGACACGCGGGTGACCATCCTTGGACACGTGCAGAGAGGTGGGACTCCTTCGGCCTTTGACAGGATTTTGGTGAGTGAGGATGGAAATGGTCAGGTGCCTTCCCCTGGGAGCGAGGAGGAATGGTTTGTCACAAAGACCGTCCGGCTCAGAGCGTCTCTGCCTGCAGTGTAGGTGGCCCGTCCTGGACATGCTAACCGTGCTCGGCCCCCAGTCACACAGATGCTGGGAGACCCCCAAACCTGGGGGGTGAGGGTGGCAGGGACTCCAGAGAACACAGCCCGCGTGCAGGTGTCTAGCCCAGGCCCCGGGTCAGCAGAGGCCCAGTCCATTTTCGTGGGTGTTGGTGTTGGGTGCCCTCCGTGCCTCTGACCTTCCCCTTCACCCCCCTGCGCCAGCCACTTTCTAGTGGGGCCGAAATGTCCTTGTTGGAGGTGGGTTAAAAGTAAGCGGGTGGACTGTCGGTAGCTCTTCGGGACGCAGTTCAGGAGGATGGGAGGCAGGTTGGGTCCCTCTGAACACCGTGGGACAGGCTCTACTCACGGATGCGTCTGCTGGGGCCACCGAGGTCGTGCCTCTGAGGAGCCGGTGGCGGGAGGGCATGCTGCCTTGGCCTTTGACCTTGTCTTTGACCTTCGCGATTGTCCTTTCCAGGCTAGTCGCATGGGGGTGGAGGCCGTGGTCGCCCTTCTCCAGGCCACCCCGGAGACCCCGGCCTGCGTGGTGTCGCTGAGCGGGAACCAGGCTGTGCGCTTGCCGCTGGTGGAGTGCGTGCAGATGGTGAGTTCCGGGCATTCCCGCGCTCACTGAGCTCCCCCAGGGCACAATGTCGTGGGTCTGGGGCACATGGAGTAACCTCCGCAAAGGTGAGGTCAGTGTGTCGGGAGGGAGTGTGTGCAGACGAAGAAGACGCGGAGGAACACGGGTCTGTGGGGCCCGTCCTGGGGGCGAGGTGGACAGGGCTGGAGCTCTGCGATTTCAGCCGCTCCTGCCCTCCTGTCCCTGAGGACCTTCCGACCAGAGAAGAGGCCGTGAGGCGGCTAATGCAGGTGACATCCTGATGTGCCCCAGCCTCCTTCAGGCCCGGGAGGGGGTGCCCCTGGACGTAGGGAAACGGGCTGTGGTTTTCCAGGTCACTGGCCACCTGAGGAGGTGGCAGCGAGTCGCATTAGATGCCGTCCCTGTTTTTATTCTCCAAAGCCTATCCGTGACCGCCCTTTTCTTGGCCTTTCCGGCAGCTCTGAGTGAACGTACTGTGTAACCTAGACAGACAGAGAGGTGATTACGTAATCACGTCCGGGGACTTGTTGAAAGTAGCCATAGAAACACGTTTTCCAGAAGGCTTTGGGGGTGAATAAATGTGCGTGCACGAGCGTGTGCGGCTGCAGGTGCGTGTGCATCTGCTATCTGTCAAGGGCCTGGCACGTTCCTCTCCCCAGTGACGACAGGGGGTCGGGGGTATTTTTCTTAGCACACAGATGAGGGAGCTGACGTTCAGAGGGGAATAACTTGCCCAAGATCCTCACGTCGAGAGGGGTGGAGGCGGGCGTGAGCGCTTCCCCAGGGCTGCCGGCCCCCCGCACCGCCATCCTCCCCACAGCGGCCCCCCCGCCCCCCGAGAGGCCGGTTCTGTCATGCTTCTTCCTCACCAGAATCCAGTGAGGAGTTGCTCAGAAGGCTGCCTGTCTAAGAGCCTGGTTTCGCTCTGGCTTTGCTCTCGGGGATTTCAGGATCTCCCTCCCCGGCTGGCTGTGCCCACCCCCATCCTTGTTCCCAAGCTGCCCGAGCCGCGCAGGCCCAGGCGTATTCCTCGCAGCCGGCACTGGCCGTGACTTGCTGACCGTGGGCTGCCAGGCTGGAAGGTTCGGCGCGAAGCGGGCGGGCGGGCAGGAGCCGCGGGGTGCAGCAGCTCTGCTCATCCACAGACGTGGGAGTCTTGACACGTTCTCTCTTCCTTATTTGTTTGAAGACCCAGGACGTGCAGAGGGCCATGGACGAGAGGAGATTTAAGGACGCCGTGCGGCTCCGCGGGAGGTGACTATCCGGAGGGCTCTGCGTTCTCGGGCTGGCACTCTCTCGTGCTCCTTCGGTCCGAGCGCACAAAGTCGAAGGCTGAGACAGGCCGCGGGGCGCCGCTCTGTGGCCCGAGGGCCCTGATGGGTAGCTGGTCTGCTTTCTGGCCAGTGGGGCTGTTGAGAGCTTAGCGAGGTACAGATAGAAAGGGGTTCGTGGCTGGCGTTTTGAGAAAGACGCTGGAGTGCACGGAAGACCAGGTCTCTCAGCCACACGCACAGCACGCACCATCGTAACTGGAAATACCCGGGGCCCTGGGGACGTGGGGTGGCGCCCCGAGCAGGCGCATGCCGACTGTGTGCGTCCGGCACAAGCCGCTCTCCCAGGGGAGCCCCTCACGCTCTGCCCGCCCTGTAACCTCAGGCCCAATGGCGCCCTTTCCTTCCAGGAGCTTCGAGAGCAATCTGAACACCTACAAGCGGCTCGCCATCAAGTTGCCGGATGATCAGATCGTGAAGGTAGGGGACACTGCGCTGTCCCGAGAGCCACCCCCATGTTCCCCGCGGACCCGCGCCTCTGGGCTCCCGGGCTGCGCACCCACCATGCGCTTGGCGGTGTGTGCGGCGCGGACACGGCCTGCCCTCCCCTGTCTCGCAGAGCAACTGTACCGTGGCCATCATCAACGTGGGGGCGCCCGCCGCTGGGATGAATGCCGCCGTGCGCTCGGCCGTGCGCGTGGGCATCTCAGACGGGCACAAGATGCTCGCCATCTACGACGGCTTTGAGGGTTTCGCCAAAGGCCAGGTGAGTCCCTGGGGGACGTCGTGGGGAACGGAGGACTGCCCTTCCTTGGCTGCAAACCTACGGCTCCGTGAAGAGGTGGACACGGTTGCTGCTCTTTGGGACGCCTTCTGCTCTGGATCCATCCTGGGGTTCGCGCTCTGGGCCCTGCAGGGATTATCTGCGTGGAACGCACCACCGGTTTTGTCCGGGGGCCACAGGCAGTGGGGCCGTGGGGGCCGTGGGGGCCGTAGGGGCCGGCCTTCGCGGGGAGGGGCCAACAGAGGCTATTGTGCCGTTGGAGGGGGCGCGGCCAGCAGGCACTCAGATGAAAGCTGGTGGAAAGAGCGAGCACACACTTCTTGTGTGCTTACTGTGTATACTCAGCACTCCTACGAGATCTGCAAACCTGAGATATCAGCCCCGTTCTCCTTACGCAGAAACGGAGGGGCACAGAGACACTAATTATGTGTCACATGTTGCAGGAGCTTAGTGTGGCTGAGACTGTAAGTGTGTCCTGCCGGACCGTATTTACTCACCCGATCACCCAGCAACACCCTGAGTTCTTACCCTGGGGAGGCCAGCTGGTGCAGAAAGCAAAGCCCCTCCGCCGGGTTGTAGCTTGGGGAGGGAGAGGATGGTGAGCGAGCAGGGGGAGCACGGCCTGGCACTCGGGCAGGGACCCCGCTGCACAGACGCCCAGAGGAGGGAGGGGGTCTGCCCTGGGACCCTACGGACACACGGCCCCGGGAAGGGATCTCAGACTGGGGACGGAGGTGCTGCATCATGTCCATGAGGACGTGCAGGCCGGGCCAGGGCAGCACCAAGGCCCAGAGGGGTTCGGGACGGCGGGCTCACGCTGCCGCTGCAGCAGCGGAGCGGGGGAGTGGACGGGGATGGGGCCAGGAGGCTTGTAGGTGATTGGAAGGAGTTTGGCTCTTGCTTGGAGAAGACAGGAGGGTTTTGAGCAGGGCGGGACCGTGGAGGGGGGACTGGACGCCCAGGGGGAGGCGTCCGGGGAGTAAGCAGGGTTGGGCTCGGGGTCTCTAAGAAGTGCAGGCAGAAGACCGGAGTTTGGGAGGAATTGGCGCACAGAGCAGACCCCCAGGTTGGCGCCCCTGTTGGCAGACACGACCTTTGCTCCTAGGAGTGGGGAGGGGGCCGGCGCAGGAGACAGCGTGTGTGCGCGCCTAGCTGGCCTCAGCTGCGCTCTTTAGGTTTCTTCCAGTTTTTAAAGAAGTTTCCTTTTAGGTCAGTAAAGAAAAACAGTCTCTGTTTTTCTTGCATTCCCATGGGTAGAGCTTGGCCAGCCGAGGTCTGGATCTGATCTGCGTGGCGGGGGGTACGCGGCAGGAGAGCTGGGCCCGGGCGTCCTGGGTTCTGACCCGCTCAGTGTCAGGACGGGGGAGGGGTGGGCTCCCGAGCGCCTCGCAGGCCTCTGGGGCGGTGCCCCTGCTGAGGGTGCAGACCCGGGAGCCGTCTGCACAGCTGACCCCCCGTTCGTTTGTCGCTCCCCAGATAAAGGAGATCGGCTGGGGGGATGTCGGAGGTTGGACTGGCCAAGGAGGCTCCATTCTCGGGACCAAACGGTAATTCCCCCGTCTCGATTCTGACCCGCTCTTAGGAAGGAGAAGGACCCCCCATCCTAGAGGAGTAGCTGGTGCAGAAAGTGCGGCTGGCTCACCTGCCAGCCCCCCGCCCCATGAGCGGCCCGGCTTGTGCCCTGGAACAGAGACGAGGCACATGGCTTACAAATATTCACAAGCTTTTATAGTGCATTTTTTTTTCTGATGAGGCATTAGGATTCTTTTAAGGTCCAGCAACTGCACAGCTGAACGTTTGTTCCAGTTTGTGTTGTTTTTGTTTTTGTTTTTGTTTTGTTTTAAACAGACTCTCTGCAGACTTGCTTTCCCAGCTCCGCTCTCCGGCCTGGGTGCCGCTCGTGGGGGCTGCAGGGCTCGGCCCGGGGCTGGGGGCTGGGCGAATGGGGTTGGGGAGGCACAGCGGGTGCTGGTGGGGTGTCACCCGCTGTGCAGGGTCTGTCCAGCCTCACGCCTTCACTGAACTGTTTCTAGCACGCTGCCTGGGAAGTCTTTGGAGGACATTGCCATACAGATGCGAAAGCACAGCATCAACGCGCTGTTGATCATCGGTGGATTTGAGGTACGTCCCTGTCTCTGGGCACCTGCTGGTTCGTCCGTGCTGTAGGTTTGGGGGGTGAGCGTGGGCAGGCTTCCGGCAAGCACAGTGCGGTGGGCGGGGGGCGTTAGCCCCTGGGCCCCGGGGGCCACTGCAGGAGCCGAGTTGGGGCACAAGCATGGGACTCCCTACCTGGGATGCATCTGTCCACTGAGTTCTCATGCGTTTCAAGTCTGCAGAAATGATCATCTCTCAAATTCAAGGCCCAATGGCCATCAGAGAGCAGGGCAGTTGCGTGGCCCTATCACTTCCGATTGCATGTTGGACCGCAGACCTAAATTTTTTTTATTCACCCAAGATCGGTCCCCTAATAACCTTTCCACTTGCTTTAAAGAAAACATGAGGACCTCAAATAATGAGACCCTTGCCCACAGGAGATGTGGTGTCGCCTCTGTGTGACGCGGTCTGGTGACCCTAACGCCTTCCCGTGGTTTTAACGGCCCCTCCGCTCCCCTCCCCCCCCCACACCTGCACGCCGCTGACAGGCTTACCTGGGACTGCTCGAGCTGTCAGCTGCCCGGGACAAGTACGAGGAGCTCTGTGTCCCTATGGTTATGGTCCCCGCCACGGTCTCCAACAATGTGCCGGGCTCCGATTTCAGCATCGGCGCAGACACCGCTCTGAACACCATCACCGACGTAAGTCTGTGCGGTCAGCAAAGCAGGTGCTGCAGACGCTAACCCGGAGGGCGCCTGGCCCGCTTTTATTTGCCGTGCACTAGAGACTGTGAGATCTGGGCTTGTTTCCAGAAAAATCTTTTTTCTTTCCTTTTTTTTTTTAAAGCCTGACCATCTCTAATCCAATGCCCAGAGTTGTTTTATCACCACCTCTTGTCCTGTGCGGCGGCCAGGATGATGGGTCCCTGCCGAGGCCCATCGAGCGACACAGAGCATCTGCAGCCCAGCTCGTTGTGGGCTAGGGTTTTGTGATTTGGATAATCATTGAAGTTAGGTTTCTTTTGGCTGGGCCAAACTGACTTCACTCCCATAACATTATTTATTAATTTTTTAAAGATTTTATTTATTTGAGAGATAGTGACAGAGACAGTGAGAGAGAGCAGAAGCGGGGGGAGCAGCGGGCGGCGGGGGGAAGTTGACTCCCCGCGGAGCAGGGAGCCCGATGTAGGGCTCCCGGGATCATAACCGGAGCCGAAGGCAGACACCCAACCCACTGAGCCACCCAGGTGCCCCAGCCCGTAACGTAATTTATTACGACAGATCCTGGGTCTGATGGCCCCTGCACGGATGTTTGAGGCTAGAACCTGAGCTGAGGATTCTCTAATTTTGTTCACCGACCTGAACCCACCAGTGGCCTCCATCCTACTTGTGGCTGCAGCCACGAGCACCATTCTCCCTGTTGTAACTTGGGGACTCTAACTCACATCTGAAAGATCCCTGACGCCCTGTTAGTTGTTTTGGTCAAAAGGCAGTAACACAACAGAAATGCACTTGTGTTACCATATTTGTGAGTCACACTGAGGAAACGGCATGGGAGCTCAAAGCACAGTAACCAACGGGATACATTTCTTCTTTTTAATCTGGCGTCTAAAATTTTCCAGTAAATTCTCCAGTCTTTATTTTCCTTGTGGGACACAGATCCCATGAATGTTTTTCTAGGATTTTTTTATTCTTAACCCCATGGGATCAAATTTGTCTCTAGTGCTGGTAAATAAAAGAAATGCTTTTTAAATAAAATTCAAATGGTAAGTAATGCTTAGCGCTTGCTTTTTTGTGTTTTGTTTTGCTTTTCTGAGCTTCTTCAACTTTCTGTGGTTTCTTTACTAAAAAACCCTGCCCCATGTCTCCTGTGTGTCCACGCTGGAGCGTCCCTGTCTACACTACTAACCTGTGGCTGGGCCGTTGAGCCCGCTGTCCTGGTGATCATTGCTCCTGCTTTGGCTGGTGTGAAGCAGTTCTGCTCCTGATCGGGCTCCAACCTTCCGTGGAAGGGTCACTGTCCCTCCCTGTGCATGACCGTTGTCCAGGCTTTCCTGCTTTTTTCTCTGCCTTTGGCTGGAGTTTGCATCTGCTTATGCTCAGTGGAAGCAACTGCAAGTTCATGTTTCCTAAGTGTCACCTGCTCTGACCCTCCTGGGGTTGGGGGTGGATGGGGACTCGGGACTTGTCCTCGGCAGGGCCTGGCCCCGGTTGGCGTTCACCTCCCTGTGACACGAAGCCAGGAGCCTTCCACTTCAGAGTTGCAGGTTCCTCTGCTATAAAACATGGTTTCCAGGTTATAAAGATTAGATACAAAAAATATGCGGAAACTCTAAATGATCCGCTTTGCTCCCCTTGGAGGGATTTGGAAATCTGTTATATGATCTTTTAAATCTGGTTTCTCATTCGTTTGATTTTCTCCCACCAGCTGCCCAGTTGCAAGGTCGGCAGCTTTGTGTCCATGCCGGTGCCAGACCCACCCTCACTAGGCGAGCAGGTGTGCGGGTGTGCCGAGGCCCCGAGCCCGCGGGTGGCTTGGGACCCGTGGTGAGTCGGGTGCTCAGGGTGACCTGGGTAAGAGCTTCGACGCCCACGCCTGGGCCTGCTGAGCGTGTGCAGGTACGGGCACGGCATGTGGACATCGCCGGGTTTCTTGCAGGGTTGTGTTTGTGCAAGCCAGAGTGAGGTTGTGTGTTGCTTAGGAGGTTTGGATCTGGGTTGGAACCCAGTGGGGCTGGCTGCATAGAGGGGAGCGGCAGGCTGGAAGTGTGCCATAGGGGGCTGAGGTGACGGGGCACAGGGCGCTCTGCGTCCCTCCTGATCTGCTCTGGAGGGACCAAGCACCCGTGAGTTTAGTGTGGGTTCGTGCGCCTCCCCCAGGAGCTCCTCCTGGCCACATGGCTGGCCGCCCGGAGCGCCCGGAGCGCTGGGATTCTGCCCCCGGGGCACGTCGGCAATGCCAAGGATGGTTTCGGTCGGCAGAATCGGCTGTGGGGGCACCCCTGGCACATGGTGGGTAGAGGCCCAGCTGCTGCTGACCCCCACGACCTCAGCACAGCCCCAGCTCAGCCCCACTGCAGGGAGCCATCGGCCTCAGTGTCCGCAGTGCCGAGGCCCCTGACGTGTCGCGTTCTTGGGCGCTTCCGTCACTGTCCTCAGCGATGACGTCCTCCGTGTCTGTGCGTACGCTCGGCTTACCTGTGCGTCACTCAGAACAGGCCTCTGTGCATCTTGTGTGTCGTGGAGGCTGCAGTGACTCCAGGCACCTCTGAGCAGGGGTTCAGAAAGCCGTCCCGCCACGGCTGCGCGCTCGCAAGGGGGCTGCGTTGGCGTCCCCAGAACTAGCACACGAGCCATCCCGCTCCGAGCTGAGCCCCGTGGTGCCGAGGAGGCTGGGAGGGTGGCCGCCCCGTTAGGAGCTCAAGGAGATGGGAGCCAGGGTTATTTCCCCCCGAGGTGTCTTGTCTTTTCTTGGTGTTCGTGCAGGGGTGTCGTGTTGTAAATCCTGTGCGCTCAGAGCCCGAAGCGGAGGTCCGCGTTGCTCCCCGGACTTTGGGCCCGACGTCCCCTCCAGCCCTACCCCCGCTCCCTCTCCTGGCAGGGCTGCCCCCATCCCCACTGGAGGGTCCCAAGAGTTTTCCTGGAGATTGAGGGAAAGTTCTTGTGGTTACGGGATGCCGGATTTAGAGATGCTGACCGCCCTCCTGGCCTCAGAGCCCGCCCTGTGACTCCCAGGGACAGCCAGCTGCACACCTACCCGCGCTGGCACTCCATACGGGGCCCCGAGCTGGACCTGGGGCCGGAAGGCAGGGTCCATGCGGGGACAGGGGGGCAGGCTGAGGTGGAGGAGGGCGAAGGCAGAGGGGCTGCGAGGCAGGGGAGTGACCCCCTCACCTGCCTCCTGGCCGCTCCCCGGACTAATCCACCATAGGCCACAGGCCCGCCATCCACACGTCCTCGGGCCACAGGCCCCTGGGACTCGATGTGTTTTGGGGAAACATGGGGCCATGGAGAGCATGGGCCTCTCCGGGAGGCCTGGGCCGTCCCCCTTCATCCGTGTGCACTCCTGCCACAGCACTCGGTGGTCACGCAGGGGGGTAAGTACAGCCCTACAGGGGTCCGTGTACCTGCGGGTGGTCTCTCAAACCGCCCAGCCGTACAGCGAGCCTGGTGGGTTCGGGGACGGTGGACGGTGGGCCTGTGTCCACTAATGAACACTTGGATTAACACTGAGGTGGGCACCGCAAACCTCTGCCTGCGTGCTTACGAACAGCCCCGTTCTTTGACCTCGGAGGCAAACACATTTACCTTGGGGTCCCCGAGCAGTGCTGGGGCTCAGGCCGCTCCATGCTGTTGTGTCAGGCTGGGAAGGGCTTGGGGAAGAGCAGGGGTGCACCCTGCCGGGGTCTCCAGCCCAGTGACTGCTTGTCGCCCTGTGGGCTGCCTTTCACGCCGGTGCCGGGGTCCCTGCTGAGGCCGAGCCGGCAGGGCCCCGCGCCCCCGTGGACCACACGAAGCTGTCAGGCTGGCCTGGCCCCGATTATGCTCCCACCCAGTTGGCCTCCCTCGGGGCTTCCGAGCTGCCAAGAAAGGTCTGCTGTTCGTCCACCACTAACATGGCCCCTCCCCCGGCTCCTGCTTTGCTGCCTGCCTGCTTGCGTCCCCTCCTCCTGGAGGCCTGCACCCCATGGCAGCATCCCCACTCCCGCAGTGCCCCTCGCTGCAGACCCAGAGCTCCCACGGCCCTGGCCCCGTGGATGCAGCTCGCAGGGGGGTGCTGGGGAAGTCCCGCTGACCGCCCGCACCGCTGCTTCAGGCTTTCGAGAGCGCCATTCTGTTCGCTGATGTGCGCGACCGCCACCAGGAGTTTTGTGTTCCCATTTGCGTCCTGCCGGCCACCATTAGCAACAGTGTCCCAGGCACGGACCTGAGCATGGGCTCTGACACTGGCCTCAATGCCGTGGTGGAGGTAAGAGGGCCCCGTGGCTCCATCAGGCCGGGCGCGGGGGGTCTTTCTCTTCCCCACCTGATGCTGCAGAAGGAATGAGCCACAGTTAGGATTCCTTTCGTGGTCCATTAGTGGGAGCTCATAGCGTAGGGAGAGCCTACCACCCACTGTCAGCTGGAACGAGACGGTCCTCCAGCGCTCCGGGTGATGTGTTCTTGCACACCCCAAAACAAGAGGCCCTGGTCTCTTGTGGGCTGTGTCCAGGAGGCTTGCGCTTGTGCTCGGGGGGATGGCCAGCCCGGACGTGGGGTGCGTGCAGGGATTCGGGGCCTGTGAGTGTGAAAGCTCTGGGGGAGAGTAGGCATGTCTGCAGCTTGGACACACCCTTGGTTGTGCAGGGGAGGCTCGGCTCCCGGGGACGGCCCCCCATCCTCGGGGGTCCGGCAGGCCCCTGCACTGGGCACTGACTGGTCTGTGGGGTCCATGTGGGAGCCAAGGACTTCCGGTAGCGCAGCGGTGGGCTGCTATGGGGTGCAGTCCTCCCCTAACAGGAGGAGGGAAGTGGCCAAGGGTGGGCCGTGTTCTTGACATTCACGTCCCCTGGGCTCCAGAGACACCTGTTCAGCAGACACCTGATTCTCAGGAACATCCCCGTCCCGGTCCATGGGCTCTTTCCTGTCTTCACTCTGTTCTGAGCTCCACCTTATCTTTTCACACGACTTAGGTTTTTAAAACACGTGTGATAAAACGTTAGCAGCGTTGGAACTCTAACTCCCGAGTTTCGAGTCCAGTGGGGCCATGCCCAGAGACTGTGCTGGGAGAATCATCCGGCTGCCGCTGCAGACGTCAGTGCTCCCGGATTCCTCGCTGTCCCCCCAAAGGCAGAGCACCCCCTCCGTGTACCCCCAGTGCGGGGTGGGGCTGCCGTCCGTGCTGAGGCTTTGTCAGTGCTGGTTTTAGTGACTGAGGGGAGCATGGCTGCAGTTGCCGGGTTAGGACCTGGTGCGTCTGGGGCCCGCTGTCCCCCGGCCATCTCCCGGGAGCGGGACAGTGGCTGGAGCTGGTGCCGGAAGTGGGCCACGCCGGGGAGAGGTTTGGTGTGTACTTGCAGATGTTATTTCGGGGCCAAGCCAGCAAGCGCTGGACCGGAGTGGTTGTGTGGGATGGAGCCAGGTGAGGGCACCGTGGTCCCGGGAGCATGCACGTGGTCTGCGCCGGCGAGGCAGTGCAAGGCGGCGGATGGAGGGGTCTGCTGTTGCACCCCTGAGCCTGTGTCCCGAGCACGGCCCGCGGCAGACGTTTTCTTAGGAGACCCGCTGTCTGAGCGTCTGGAAGACTCCGGAGGGCCTGTGTCTAGGAGCCACTGTCCAGCTCCGAACAGAGCTGCCCTCAGGGGCTGGAGTGTTTGGGGTAGACTGAGAGTGACCAAAACCCAAATGTCACAGGCAGCTTTTCAGAAGAAGCCAACCTAACAGACATTGCACTGAGCCCATAAAACCTCACGGTGCCCATGTCCCGCGAGGCCACGTGGGCAGCTGCAGCGAGCTGGTCCCAGCCCCGCCGCAGTGGGCAGTGTCAGGACACGGGGTCGGTGAGCACACCAACCAGGGGCAGGGGGGGTCGCCGGGGTCTGCAGCCTCAGTCTGTGCGCGTCCCAGCCTGGACACCCCCACGCCGGAATGACCCGTGTCCTTCTCTGTGGCCAGACATGTGACCGCATCAAACAGTCGGCCAGTGGGACCAAGCGCCGCGTGTTCATCATCGAGACCATGGGGGGCTACTGCGGCTACCTGGCCAACATGGGGGGGCTCGCCGCTGGAGCCGATGCTGCCTACATTTTTGAGGAGCCGTTTGATATCCGAGACCTGCAGGTACGTTGATGCTGCGGGGCCCTGGGTGACACGGTTGTGTCAGGGGGCTGGCTCTGACGGGAGGGCGATGGGGTTGACAGGACACCAAGGTTTATACACTGTCAGTGACCCCCTCACCGAATTGAGGGGCGTGAGCTGATGCACCAACTTCCCGTTAGACCTCCGTCCGCAGGTCAGCCCAGTGTCCTTGTGGTGTCCATGTGGGAGGGTGGCCGGGGCACATCCTTCCCGGAACCCTGAGGCCCGCCTGCTGGAAAGGCTGGGTGTAACAGGGGGGTGCACGGCGCCCACCGGGGTGGCGGGACCTGTGAGGTCACGGTGCGGCGGGCTTAAGGCACTAAGAACAAAACAGAACCAAACTGAACGCCTGTTCTCTCTGGTTGGCATGCTTCCTTTAAAGAGTTTTTTTTTTTTAAATTAACAATGTATTTTTTAGAGCAGTTTCAGGGTGAGGACAGAGTTCCCCCACACGCCTGCCCCACACCCAGCAACACCCCACCAGGGTGGGACCGTTGTCAGAACAGATGCCCCCCCACCCACGCTGATGCATCCTCAGCACCTGGGGCCACAGCTGACATCAGGGTTCCCTTTGGGATCCCAAGGCTGACATGCGCTTTCCAAATCGGCAAAGGTTCCTAGGGCCCAGCTTTATGGGGGGTGAGTGGCCAGTGCAGGGGAGTCGGGCTGCGCAGCCCCCGTGGGGAGAGAGGGGAGCTGGTGGGAAGGCTCCAGGGGGGCATTGGACAAAGACAAGCCTTAGTAAGACAGACACAACTCAAACCCACAAAAATACAAATAAAACTAACTTTGTGCTGCTGACGTGAGCACAGGAACTTTAAGGTCTTTCTATGTTTCTGGACCACATAAATCAAGTAGAGACTTGCTTGATATGGATTTCTTCACAGTGTGGAATTAAATGTTTGTACTTCAGAAAGCCACGTCAAGACCATGCTCGGCCAGCGCATGTCTCTGCTCCGGCACACGGACCCTAACCACTGTGATGACGACTGAGGTTTGCTTACATGCAAACACCTCCGTTCCTTGCCCAGTTTCTGTGCTCAAGACACAGGACTCCTTTCCTTATAAACTCTGTACACGAATTCAAGTCTGTAACAGCTTCTCCTGGCCCCCAAATCCTTAGGCAGTTAGGAGATGATGTACGACGTCAGGTACACCAGTTTTTCCTCTGTCGGGCAAATGAGGAGCGACGGACACTGGGGACACACAGGCTCAGGGCACAGATTATGTGAATTCGCGATTTCAGAGGGAAAGCTATTCCTTGTGGAAAGCGTGCTGCAGGGAAGCTGGGCCCCGGACGCTGTCCCTGTGCCCAGTTGAGCGGCAGCCCTCCCGGGCCGAGCGCGCTGCCTGACCTTGTGTGCTGGTCTCTTCTGGCCCGTGTGCACCCCCGGTCTGTGCGCGCCGGGCGCTGTCCTCTGTGCCGTAGTGGGAGCCCTGACACGCTCCCTGCTGCGCGTGCGGTACTAGGGTCACGCGGCGGGCGCCAGGTCCAAGCCTCCCGTCTGACGGACTAACAACGCTCTTCCCTAGTCCAACGTGGAACACCTGACGGAGAAGATGAAGACCACCATTCAGAGGGGACTCGTGCTCAGGTACGGACACTCGTCCTCGCTCACCGAGCCCGAGCTTCCCAGACGACCCGGCCCCAGGGTCGGAACACTCCGGGGCGGTCATCAGTCACCACTGAAGAAATGCAGGAGGGGCTGTTGCACGCTGCGTCAAATACGGCATACATTTACGTAACTCAAGGGTACTTCGCAAAAATTCACTTTTGCTTTGTAGTTTTTTGTTTGGTTTGGTTTTGGTTTTTAAAGATATCACCAAGTCATTTCTTTAATTAAGCCACTGGCATTTCTAAAGAACACGTGTAGTCCAGGCGGGCACGGGCCGGTTGCCCACCCCGCCGGCGCCCTGAGCCCGCGTCTCCCCTCGCCGCAGGAACGAGAGCTGCAGCGAGAACTACACCACGGACTTCATCTACCAGCTGTACTCGGAGGAGGGCAAGGGCGTGTTCGACTGCAGGAAGAACGTGCTGGGCCACATGCAGCAGGTGGGGCCTGGGGCCCGCGCGGCACTAAGCAGGCCGCCGTCCGGAGGCTCTATGTAGATGGATGCCTTATTTTAGCCACAATGGGGAAAAAAACTGTGTGCTCATGAGATGTTTTTAAACATCTTGGCATTTACTTCCCTATGTCATAGTTCCATTTCAGTCATACCAGATACCACCAGCTTTAGAAATTCTGTGTTGGCGTAGATGGAAGACGATCAATGTTCAATGTTGGAAACGTTGATTGGAAAAACCTAATCAAATGAAGTACTTCATTCAGTTTTGGGCCTTAGTAACTATCTACACATCAGACAAATGATACTTGAGATTTGCACAAATTCGGAATGGTCTGGAAGGAATCTTGGGATGCGCTTTGGTTTGCAAGCACGTGCCAGATGACAAAGCCGGAGATGGGTGTGGATTAGGGCCACAGCTCAGGAAGGCATACCTGTCCTGGTCCCAACACTGCCTCCTCTCCCCCCTGCCCCCCGCTATCTTAGGGTCTTTAACTTAGGGTCTGCTCCTCCATTCCAAAGGGCCCGTGCGCATCTGTGTATTTTTGTGGGAGCTAGCCCACAGGGTTGGTCAGATTCTTAATGGAAACTGTGACCTGCCCCGCCCCAAAATAAGACTAAGACATCCGATAGGAGATTGGAAAATAATGAAGCTGCGAGCTGCACAGCCCCATGAAGGGTGGGGGTGAGCACTGGGAAGCTTGCCTCGCAGACTGAGCTCTGGCCGCAGGTCCCAGCTACATACGAGCAGGTAAAAACACGCAAGAACAAAAACACAAAACCCCCCAAACCCTTATTTACAGATCCTGAATCTCTTAAAAGTATGATGTGCGTTTTGTGAAGTAATCGTACCTTTCAGGGAATTTTGACAAGCTGTGTCAGTAACCTCTCTGTAACTCTGTCCGCCCACAGGGTGGAGCGCCTTCACCCTTTGATAGAAACTTTGGAACCAAAATCTCTGCCAGGGCCATGCAGTGGATCAGCACGAAACTGAAAGAGGCTCCCGGCAAAGGTAGGGAGCGGTGGCTGTGGGTGGGGACGGCCACGCCCTCTGGGACCACGCTGCATTGCTATGTGGCTTTCAAGGCTGTCATTCAGAGTGACCCTAAAGGCAGTGCTTTTTTGCTCCTGCTCGTCGGTGGCGGGAGGCACTCCGTAGTCCAGTGCCGTCCTCCTTGAATCGAGGATGCTGCCCATACACTAGGCTCCCCCAGCAGGACCCTAGATGTGACCTTCCCTTGTCTTTGGCCACACGGCACACTCTGAACTGGCCTTGACTTAGGACACCTAGGACTTACGGATTCTTCATGACCTTTCTTTTCAGAGAAAACAGGAAGTGGCAGGTGTCGGGACGGTTTGCTCCTTCCAAACCTAGCCTTTCTTCCCGCACATTTCCCTCCCTCCCCACCAGAGGCAGCCTCGGAATTGCAGAATCCTTCTGCTTTCCCGTAGTCCTGCCACCTCAGGGACACCTTCACAGGCCCCTGTGGTTTACGTGAATGGAAGCCGACAGCGTGCATTTCCCTTTGCTGGGGTGTTGATGTGCACCCGGCTGGTGTTCCTGACCCTTGGCCCGCATCCCGGCGTCCCCAACCACAGGCTCACCTGCAGCGCATGCAGTCTCCTTGGTCCTGCCCGCGTGACATGTGACCTGTCCCTGTTGGGCTGTCGCTGTCACGGGGGCAGCTCCACTGTGGCTTTGAGGCGAACCTTCCAAAGCGAGGAGGGGAAGACAGCTTCCCTCGTGCTTCCTTCAGGGTCCCGCTGCTTCCCTGAGTTCTTCCGGCATTTTGCCTGCTTTTCTATTGCTTAGTAACACTTACCTTATTGACATATATTTTTTGCTTTTATATCATTGTATAGATTTAAAAATGTTTTGATGACTTTACAAAAACTTGTTTTACTTTATATTCTAGGAAATTCTATTTCATATTCTGCCCATCCCATGTTGCAGATAGGGCTCTCGTGGGGCTTGTCATTTTGTGCAAGGCACCTCTCCTCAATCTTTAGGTAGACTGCTTACCTTCTCCTTTATGGTTTGAGCTCTTTTGCTCTAAAACATTTTTACATTTACTTCTTTGATCCACTTGAAGTCTGAGGTCTGATTTCATGTGGATCATCACTTACTTGGGTGCCATTATTTGAGAAGTCTCTAATCTCCGTCACAGACCAGGTATCTGTGAAGCTGGTGGGACAATCTCTGGGTTACTGGGTTTGCGGTTTGGCATTCAGTTATTGATCCTCGCCAGTATTCCAGCTTTATACTGATAGCTGGAAAGGTGAGGCCCCCCTCTACCCTGGACTTTTTGGTTTCTGCTATTCTTGGTCCTTTGTGCCGTCACAGTCCACCAAAAACTCTGTTGGATGTTTTGAGGGAATTAAATTTAATCAGATCATTTGGGGGAGGAACTGACATTTTAAAAATATTTTCTAATTCATGAACACTGTATCTCCATATATTTAAGCCTTTCCTTATCTCTTATGAAAGCATAAAGATCTTGCAATATCTTTCGTTAAGTTTATTCCTGACTCGATATTTAAAAAAATGTTATTGTAAGTATATATATTTTTTTACTTACTGCTGGCATACAGAAATGCAACTTTTTTTTTTTTTAAAGGTTTTATTTATTGGACAGAGAGACACAGTGAGAGAGGGAACACAAGCAGGGGGAGTGGGAGAGGGAGAAGCAGGCTTCCCGCTGAGCAGGGAGCCCGATGTAGGGCTCCCGGGATCA